AAAGGGTTGCTCCAGGACAAGTAAAATCGCAATTTTTCCTCAGTTTTTGACGATCGACCCTCATTTCGTGCGAAAGGGTTGCTCCGGGACAAGTCAAATCGCAATTTTTCCTCAGTTTTTGACGATCGACCCTCATTTCGTGCGAAAGGGTTGACGTTTCGTGACTCGCCGCCGGCACCACCCTCGGCCTTAAGAGAGAAAGATAAAAAGAAGGCGTGAGAGAGAAGGTGAGCAGGTGTGAAGATAAGAAGATGTGAAGGTGAGCAGATGTGAAGATGAGCAGATGTGAAGATGAGCAGATGTGAAGATGAGCAGATGTGAAGATGAGCAGATGTGAAGATGAGAAGATGTGAAGATGGGAAGGTGTGAAGATGAGCAGATGTGAAGATGGGAAGGTGTGAAGATGAGCAGATGTGAAGATGAGAGGATGTGAAGATGAGAAGGCGGGAGAGAAGATGTGAAGATGAGAAGGTGTGAGAGAAGATGTGAAGATGAGAAGGTGTGAGAGAAGATGTGAAGATGAGAAGGTGGGAGAGAAGATGTGAAGATGAGAAGGTGTGAGAGAAGATGTGAAGCTGAGAAGGTGTGAGAGAAGATGTGAAGATAAGAAGGTGTGAGAGAAGATGTGAAGATGAGAGGGTGTGAGAGAAGATGTGAAGATGAGAAGGTGTGAGAGAAGATGTGAAGATGAGAAGGTGGGAGAGAAGATGTGAAGATGAGAAGGTGTGAGAGAAGATGTGAAGATGAGAAGGTGTGAGAGAAGATGTGAAGATGAGAAGGTGGGAGAGAAGATGTGAAGATGAGAAGATGTGAAGATGAGAAGGTGTGAGAGAAGATGTGAAGATGAGAAGGTGTGAGAGAAGATGTGAAGATGAGAAGATGAGATACAGACCCCCACTATTGGAAGAACCCTGCGCTCAGACGCTCTCGGGAAAAAGCAAACCACACAAATCAGAAAATGGAACGCTGTGGTGATGTCGAGGTGGTCACTTTAGTTATAGATAATATGCTCATATGTTGATATTATTTCATGATTTGATGTGTTTGAGTGATTTTGATATAGATGAGATGGCGGATGGTTGGTGCAGCACCAAACCCACAGCAACAACAATGTCTCTGCGAGAATGTTAGGATGTGAAAGGTCACAAAGGCTCAAGATGTAAAATTTAATTACTACGTCATTTTTCAGAACATTGTGGTTTTTTAAGCGCACATTTCTTCGCCAAACAATCCCACGTATCAATTCCACCACACGGGCTGGTTCCACCGGCCCCATCTTGCCATGACTCCAGGTACACCATCGGCCCAGAAGGCAACGAAGGGATCTTTGATGGAAAGGTGCAGCTGTTGGATCGACATGTGTTGGGAGCTCAGCAACTGAGCCACTCAAATGGATGGCCATGCAGTTATTCGGGATGCATCTATTGTTACCTACAAACAGAAAGCATTGTAAGTTTGTAGGCGCATTTGCGCATAAGGGTTGGCCAGTTGCTCACGATGTTTTCTTTGTCAGATTCCCTTTGAAAGATGCAACAGTCATTCACACATGCTTTCTCTTTTCAATGTCATTTGAGGTACAACTCCGTGAGTGCCGCCGTCAACAACTTGAACGATGGCCTTATTGCCTCCACCTCAGCATGGCAAAGCATGGCAAGTTGTGGCTTGCATCTGGCAACGTCTGGCAACATCTGGCAACATCTGGCAACACGGGTTACAGCATGTCACTATATTACTGAGGTGGTTCCCGAAGGGTACTGCGTGGTGTTCTCCGGTTCCAAACAAAGCCTGGGACTTGGCCTGCAGACATCGCCTAGGAATTATGGAACGCATGGAACGCATGGAAGTTGAGCCGTGGAGCTGTGCTGGAGCTGTGACAAACTGAGATTACTACCTACTTTGGCGAGAAGACAAGGAAGCCGAAGTCTTTTCTTTGCACTTGTCTCAGGAAAATTGTTTGTTCCCACTTTCATGGCATTTCATGGAATGGCGATGAAGTTTCAACAGAAGCACTGAGTCCACTGCCGCGAAGTTTGGTCACTGGGAGTCACTGTGGAATCCTTGGAATAGTTGCTGGCTGTCTCAGGCTGGGTTTGAGCGATCAGTGTCCTGGACGCACAGATAGACCAATGTCGCACCAATGTTGCGACACCGTTGAGAGAAACAAAATCCCATTGATCGATCATGATCGATCTATGTGCAAATCTTGCCGGTATAGAAAATAAAGCTTACCCAAAAAGGGAAGGGGGGTTGAATGGTTTTGACGTTTTCAGGTTTGCCAGAACAATGTGTGAATGATCATTGAATGATCATTAAATGAGCATTGAATGATTTCAATGTCACACATGTCGATAACATTTCAAGAAAATCACCGATCATTTTTCATTTTTGTTTCATTCGCATATTTCTCCGAGGACATTTCACACATTTGTTCCACTTCTTTCACACATTTTCACACATTTATTTCAGAAATGGTTCTCATTTCACTATATTTCACTAGTTT